AGTGAGCTGGACATCTTTGTGGGGAATACGACACTTATCGACGAGGATGTGTATCGCCTTTGGCTAGATGGCTACTCTGGTCTGTGTGTGGCCGTTCAGGGGAATCCTTTGGGCGGAGTGTTTTGTATGGGAAAGGGGCGGAACCAGGATTTGGGCGTCTTTAGGGAAGTTGGCAGGCTGCTGGGAGTAAGGGATGTAGAGAAGTTGGGACTGAAATCTTTGGCGGTCTCTGGGGTTGGCACACTGGGGCTGATATTAGCATCCACTCTCCAGTGAGCGATGCAGTGGCTCTGCGAGTGCGCTCCGGAATTCTGGAGCAGACCGGGGCCACAGCAGCCGTGCTGCAGAGCGACACCATGGACCATTATCGCACCTTCCACATGCTTGAGCGCCTGCTGCATGCACCCCCCAAACTGCTGCACCAACTCATCTTCCAGATCCCGCCCTCCCGGCAGGCGCTGCTCATTGAGAGGTGCTCACTCAGTGGATAGTGGGGACACTAACCAGTATAACCATATACCCACTTTGGAGGCTGAAACAGATCCAGGGAGGGACAGGACTTCCCCAAGATCCAAGAAAGCTGAGGGCAGAAAGGGCCCCGCCAAGCCCCTTTTCTCTTTCTTTATGAGGGTTCAGTGATGTCCTACCTCCACCAGGTACTATGCTTTTGATGAAGCCTTTGTTCGAGAGGTCCTGGGCAAAAAGCTGTCTAAGGGCACCAAGAAAGACCTGGATGACATCAGCACCAAAACAGGCATCACCCTTAAGAGCTGCCGGAGACAGGTGGGCACTATACCCACATGTGTACCACATCCCATCTATCATCCACCCCTTCACTTCATCCTTTGGTCTCTGCCCTACCTGTGTCCTCTGATTGTGACAGCAACTTCCCACCAGTTTCTTCTCCCCCTTTTTGTCTCTGTTAAGCCATCCCCTCCATTATGGCCACAGTTGCTTTTCACAGACCTGGATCTGACATTGGCTTTCCCCTGCTCAAACATTGATTGGCTCCATTGATCTCTGGGTAGCAGCTGTAGTTCTTATCCTTGACCTTTAGACTCTCCTGCAGACTTATATTTTGATCATCTTACTCCTCTCTAGAAGGTACTGTTCTTGGCAATAAATATCTATTCTTTGAAGTCCAAGGCAGGACCTTGACTTTTTGGTGGTGCTAAGGATCAGTAGCCCTGGGGCCAGGGAGATGGCTCAGTAGAATAAGTGTTTGCCTGGCAAGTGCAACGGCCTGAGTTCAATCCCCGGTTCTGAAAAAAGAAAAAAGAAAAAAGGATAGGTAATCTTTCTGGGCCTCTCATGCATTTTGTCTGCATCCCCTGTGAACTCCTAAGTACACCTTAGCATGAGCTCACTTCAGATTCCTTGGATTTAACCAGGAGAGTCTATTCTGGCTCAGATTTCTGAAGAATCAGTTTGGTGCTAAAATGGAGTTGAGTAGAGCTAAGAGTTCAGTAGACATTTGTCCTAGGCAACATGATAGATGCCAATAGACATTGTTGACTTGATAATAGCTACTAATAACTAGTAGTTCGTTGAAGGAATAACAAGTGCTGAATCAGTGCTGCTAATTAGGTGGACAGGAGAGGGATATTTAATAAACTTTTATTGGGTAAGTACTTTCTAATCAGTTCTCCTTCTCTAACTGCCCTACAGTTTGACAACTTTAAGCGAGTCTTCAAGGTGGTGGAAGAAATGCGGGGCTCCCTTGTGGATAACATCCAGCAACACTTCCTCCTCTCTGACCGGTTATCCAGGTAAGGGGCCAGCCATCTGCCCACCTGCACACATCTCTGCCCATCCTAATCTCCTTTCTCCACCTCAACTCCCTTTACCTCCTGGCTGTTCTGGGCAGGATGGATATCCCACTTTTAGTCTGTACTTTAGATCAGACTGGCCTGAGTTTGAGTCCCAACAGGATCATTCTCCAGCGGGGCACATGTAAAGCACTTAAGAAGTGTTCAGTGATGGCAGCCAATATCCTTGTAGTGTCACACTGTGTCTCTTAGGAAACGTAGGCTGAAGTGTCTGCGGAAAGGAGGAGGTCCATAGAGAAATGACTTGAGATACATCATGCAGTGGGTTAGGGCAGAAAAGAGGCCACAACTTAGCTTCCAAGTCTGTCCACAAACTTGCCTTTCAGCCCCCTTAGCCTCCCAAGCAGCCAGGATCACAGGCAGAATATTTATTTATTTATTTATTTATTTATTTATTTATTTATTTATTTATTTTGGCCAAACCAGAGATTTAACACAAGCCCTTGCTCTTGGCAGGCAAGTGCTTATTCTACTGAGCCACTCCCTGGCCCTTATTTATTTTTCAGTACTGGGGGTTTCATCCGGGGCTTCCACACTTAGCTACATCCCTAGCCCTTTTATAGGTTTTTAAAATTTTCACACAGGCTCAAAGTCACTAAATTGCCCAAACTAGGCTCAAATTTGTGATCCACGAGTTTTAAACTTCTGAGAGCTGGGAGTACAGGTGTGATCCACCATGTCCAGCTAGGAATTTTTTTTTTTTTTTGTGGAACCGGAGATTGAACTCAGGCCCGTGTGCTTGCCAGGGAAGCGCTTATTCTACTGAGCCATCTCCCCAGCCCTAGGAATTTTTTTAATTTAACAATATTATGTAAGCTTAATATTCAGCATACCAGGGCTGGCCAGATAGCTCAGCAGACTAAGTGCCAGATAGCTCAGCAGACTAAGTGTCTTCTTAGGCAGAGCATAGGAGCCAGGGTTCAATCCCCAGCACCACAAGCCATGCGAACCTCGCCCTGAGGCATGGTGAGATAGCAGTTGAGACTGGGTGTGGTGGTGGCACACCTGTAATCCCAGCTCTTGGGAGGCTGAAAACAGGCGGATCACTACTAGTCGGATCTATGTAGTAAGACCCTTTAGACTCTACTAAATAAAAAAATAAAAATTCGGCATACTGTGATAGGATCAATGAAAGGATCTTCAAGCCTTGAGAGGACCCATTGTCCCCTACCTGCAGGGACTATGCGGCCATCGTCTTCTTTGCCAATAACCGCTTTGAGACAGGGAAGAAAAAGCTACAGTATCTAAGCTTTGGTGACTTTGCCTTCTGTGCTGAGCTCATGATCCAGAACTGGACCCTTGGAGCCGTCGGTGAGGCCCCCACTGACCCAGGTGCCTGGATGCTCCTCACCCTCTCAGGGCCTGGTTCCCCACCAGCAGTTCTTCCTGCAGGCCCCCAGTTCCTAGCATCCTATCTTTTACTTTTTGGGGCCAGGTCTCAACATATAATTCAAGTTGGTCTTGAACTTACCTTGATCCTGCCTCAGCCTCCAGAGTATAGGGATGCACCATGTCTAGCTTATATCCTTTCTTCTTCTGTCCTCTACCAGGCCTGAGTCCCTTCTGCTCATAGGCTGCATTCTCCATACACTCTTTGTCTGTAAGCCAAGGGCTCACTCCATCTGTGGCCTGGAGCATGTCACTCCCTCCCTGAAACCCCAGTACCCTATGTCCCATAGGGTTCAGTAAGTGGTGGGTGAGGCTGGTTCAGGATCTCTTAGAGGGGTTTGTCACCCACCCCAATTCCTTTCATGGACCTCATGCAGACTCCCAGGTGGATGACATGGATGTGGACTTAGACAAGGAATTTCTCCAGGACTTGAAAGAGCTCAAGGTGCTCGTGGCTGACAAGGACCTTCTGGACTTGCACAAGAGGTGATTCTGGGGGTCCATGGGGCAGGGTCTGAAATAGGGCTCAGGTGGCTCTGGGCATGACACTATCTCCCTGCAGCCTGGTATGCACCACCCTCCGGGGAAAACTCAGCATCTTCTCCGAGATGGAAGCTAACTTCAAGGTCTGTGGCCCCATCCAGCCTTTCCCTTGGGTGTCTTCAGCCTCCCTGTGCTACCCCGGCTTAGCAACTCAGCACTGGCTGGAGACTGACTGGCAGGTGGCACTTCTAGTCCCTCTGCCTGCCTGTGAGAGAGAACCAGCTCATAAACAGAGGGGACCTGGTCGATTGAGGGTGGTGGATAGATTTGGGGAGGGGCTTGACCCTCCAGCATCTGTGCTCTGCCCCCGGTTTCTGGGGCAGAAGCCAGAACTCCTAGGATCCCTTCCCCACAGAACCTGTCTCGGGGGCTGGTGAATGTGGCTGCCAAGCTGACCCACAGTAAGGACGTCAGAGATCTGTTTGTGGACCTTGTGGAGAAGGTGAGCTGCCCTGCCCACTGTCCTCCCATCCTCACTTGGCCTGTCCTTGGCTATAAGCTAGCACTAGATACTCCCTCATGCCTACAGTTTGTTGAACCTTGCCGCTCCGACCACTGGCCACTGAATGATGTTCGACTCTTCCTGAATCAGTATTCAGCATCTGTCCACTCCCTGGATGGCTTCCGGTAAGAGACCCCAGTCCTGTCTAGTTGGACTTTGACTCAGCTGGCTACTTGTTCTCCATTGTGCCACCCCAAGGGTTGAGGTCTCTTATTTCAACCACTTAGAATCTGTGTGACCTTGGGCAAGTTTCTTAATCTTTTCATGCCTCAGTTTCCTCATAGGTAAACTGGGAGTAATAATTAGAAAACTTGTAAGAATTTATGAGGGCTAACTGGGTTTGGGATGTGCAGTGTGTTGCAGTGTTTGCTTGGCATGTGGAGGCCCTGAGTTCAGTGCCCGGCATCACACCACAGAAAAGAGACTGGCTGAGAACTTACTGAGTTAAGGTATAGGAAGCACTCACAGCAGTGTCTTACCTGTAGAAAGCCATCACTTTTGCTATTTCCATTACAGGCACCAGGCCCTCTGGGACCGCTACATGGGCACTCTCCGTGGCTGCCTCCTTCGCCTCTATCATGACTAAGAGCCCTTCCTGCCACCCTACTCATTGTGACAATAAAGTTGCCTTGAGTTTGGACAATGAGCCTTGCTCCAGGGGGAGGAGCCAGTAGGACATGTGTAGTGTACATGTCCCCAAGTGCCGTGGTGTTCATGCATGAAGATCTGGTGTACCCGGCCCCATGGGTCAGAGATGTTGTCTGTGCTCACCCCACCTGCCATCTCCAAGTCCCCATTGACTCCACTCAGGCAGCAGAAGCCTCACCTTGATTTATTCACACTGGATGGAGAAAGTTGGGAGGATAAGCAGAACCCTTAGGATGGGGCAAGGAAGAGGCAGCTAGCATGTGGAGAGGCTCAAGGAGGGCAGGAGAATGCCTGCTTCTTCACTGGATTGTCTACACAGGCTGTGATTGGGTACTTGGTGATACCGCAGGTGTTGCTCCCTCGGTGCAACCGGAAGTAGCCCTAGGAAATTAGAGGACATCAGGGCCAGAAGGAGGGGAAGCACCTGTTCTGCCCTGTCCCTTCTGCCAATGAACTTGCTCACCTCCTCACCCCAGTTGGCCCCCCAAGAGTTCTTCAGGATCCAGTAGGGGATGGAATGGCGTGGAGGACGGTTGGAGTGGGACAAGACTTTCTCTGTGCCTTTCTCCTCTTTGCTTGTGCCAAAACCCACCAGCAGGACATAATGGTCCGCAAACCAGGGATCACAGGTGGAGGGTGTGCCCTTGATTATACCCTTCTTGTAATGCTGCAGAGATGGGAGAAGAAGGGCTGAGTCTGGGGCACCTCCCCCACATGCCCCTCTCCCCAACCCCCTACCCTGTGCACCTGCAGCAGTTTCGAGTTGATGATCACAGTGATGGGGCCCTGTGTGGCCACATACTTGGCAATGGCTGGAGATAGAGAACGTCATCAGGCCCTGCCTGCCTCAGGGCCACTGCTATTGACACCTAGGTGTTCCTCTCCCACTCCCAACCCCTCCATTTGCTCTGTCCTCTGCCCTTTGTCTCTCCCAGACTCCATATCTCCCCACTCTGGCTGTACTCTGTTCATTGCGGGGCAGCATGATGTAATCGTAGATCCAGGCCACCTTCCTGTAGTTCGGTGCCCGGCACCTGTGAGTGTTGGCATGTCCCTGGAATGGGTAGTCCCTTTCACTGGCCAGACCACCTGGAGAAGAAAAAGGAGACTCAGTTCCTGGATGTCCCCCACCCCTACAGGTGTCCATCAAGGCCAGGTACTCACTGTAGTTGAGGGCAGTGATGAATGCATCCCAGATGTAGCCACCAGTGCAGCCATCCCCACAGCGGCCACAATCAAGCAGTTCTGGGACAAAAAGGGACAGCATGGGTGACCATGCCCCTGGTCTTCGCCGGTCACATCCCCATTTCCATCCCAGTCATACCTTGCACAGAGACTTCCACAGAATTTTTGAACTTAATGTTCCACAGGGCTTCAATGTTGCCTGCTGCCGCTATGGCCCAGCAGCACTTGCAGTTTCCCTGGTGTGTTATAGGGTAGGGCACATAGGATGTCTAGATGGAGTACGCCTCTCATTTCCTACCCTTTGCGCTGAATTGGGCTCAGCTAGGTTGGGGCAGGTACCTGGTTCTTGACAGGTGTGATGATGTGGGCCTTCCTCCAGTCACAGCTTTGGGGCATCAACTGCTTTTCAAAGCTTACCTGTTTGGCTACCCTGAGGCCCTTCTTTGCTCCCCTCCAATTCCCATAGAGCTGGCCAAACTCTTCTTCTGGGGGATAGAGAGGACCAGAGGAGTTACAGTTTTGACCTCCCTCTCCATGTTCTGCCTCTTCTGCTCCAGCCATCCACATGCTTTGCCTTTTGGGATACTGAGGCCTGGTAAGAGGCTCAACTCCAGCCAGCGCATTCCCTTGCATCTTCTGCCTTTGACCTCCCAAAGGGGCTGGGACACAAGCTGGCAAAGTTCCTGACCCTGTGCTCTGGGATTTGGGGCAGGTACCTAGGCTGATCCTGAAAGCGGAAGGTTTGCTGTCTGCCAGGTTTCCCAGATGAGCTTCTACTTTCCCACCCTCCACCTATGGACTATGCAGGTCTCTACCTGTGAGGTCACTGAATGGAGTCACCCCAAACTCAGCTGTCCCCAAGTCATCCTCTTGTAGCCTCTGAGCCTTGGCCAGGTTGTGGACAAAGATGTCCAGGCGATGTGCATATTCTGCACCAAAAAGGAGTTGTGTTAAGTTGGTGTCCAATCCAGGGGCATGAAGTGACCACAAGCTAGGCAGCCTCCCACCCTGGCCAGTGAAGATCTTTTTCTGTAGTCTCCACAGGACACTACAGATGCTGGGCCAAGGAAGTAGTTACCCAGCCCACCTATGCTACAGTTTCCCCCAGAGACAGCAAGGGGAGCATTAGCCAACCATGAGGGGAATCAGTGACTCAGAAGGCAAAACTGAGTGGTTGGAAACCAGCTTCCTGCTTGGCCACCTCTTTACACCTCTGAATGCAGGTCTGAAGGGAAACCAAGGTATGAGTGTCCACAGACAAATCTGTCAGAGATGAGACGCACTCTGAGGACAGGAGCTGGGCTGCAGTTCATAGAACAGAGTCCCCACCTTCGGGACAATGTGGACATCTGCTAAATGAATACAACTAGATGCTGGTCCCCTGACCCCTGTGTAGAAACACTGAAAAGTGGCTGTGCAGAGGGCACACGGTAACTAGGTAGATCCCCAACCACTACCAGCCCTCCCAAGTGTACAGCAAAGGATGGCCCTTTATCTACCCATGGGCTGGGGATGCCAGTGAGTACCTCAGGCATTGCCATCCTGCTTAGTGCCCCTTCAGCCTATTGCCCACCCCAACTGTCAAATTCTTCATCTTACGTGAACACAGGGAGATTGGACTAGAAATGGATATGACCATTGGTACCTGCTGGGTTCGAGTAACTCCTGTTAAACTGGATCTGGAACAACTTGAAGACTTCTTTTAGCTCTAGTGGCTGGGGACCTGGGTCCTGGCAAGGTACCAGGAGGAGAAAGTAAAGGTAGAGGGGTCATTGCTGGACCCCCACCTGAGCTCCAGCTGTGTAAAGACTGGCCTGGGGTCACCTGGTTAGCCTCTTATCTCATGTGAGCTTAAGAATAGCAGTCACCTCCCCAGCCTCAGTTGCTCCCTCTGAGAAATGGGGTCTCCAGGCCAGTGGTTTCTGAAGCAGTGACCCCCAAGCATGGAACTGCCAATGGAGAGGATATGAGGGGCAGGTTGGGAGCGTTTACCTGGGCTCCAAAGGAACTCCTGATGCCTGGGGCTAGGCCTGCAACCAACAAGACCAGGAGGCTGGGGAAGCAGACATTCAGAGCCATGGTGGTTCAGAGCTGAGTGCAGTTTTGCCACAAGCTGGGACAGGAAGCTGTATAAATCAAGAGGTGGAGGTGGAGAAACCACAAAGAAAAGTCAGAATCTCAGTGGACCCTCAGCAGACAAGGCCCCCTCAGGCTTCAGGCTTTTGTCTCTACCTGCCTTTTTTTTTTTTTTTTTTTTTTTTGGGGGGTCCCTCTAACCTATTTCTTTTTCTTTATTCAATAGTGATTCTAGGCCAGTGTTGTATACAATTCTAGGTATGCAGAGATGGATCTGCCCTTGAGACAGGGGAAACACTCTAAATGGACACTTTCACTACTGTGAAGCTCACTCAGCTCAAAGGTCACTTCCTCTGAAAAACTTTCCCTGCTCCCCTAGTCTCTGATGTAGCCATCTATGGCCTTGTCAGCCCCTGATGTACTGGTGCCTGCTTAGGATCTGCCTTCCAACAGCATGAGAGATACTCATTTTGCCTATGTCTTTGCTACCCAGGGCAGGGCTCTATGGAGCAGATTACCTGGGTATTTACTGATGGAACAATAAATTGTCAGCTGCTTCCTTCCGTTCCTCATTCCTGCCACAGTCCAGGGATGGTAATGAGCGCCCTCACTAGGGCTGGGGAGGAAGAAAGGTAACAGGGAGGGTGGAGGAAAACAATGGTGGAGTAAAGATAAGCTTCAAAGTACAGTCTGGGCTCTGAGGCACTTAGAAAACAACTTAGTGGGACTGGGGAGATGGCTCAGTAGAATAAGTGCTTGCCTGGCAAGGACAAGGGCCTGAATTCAATCCCCAGTTCTGGAAAAAAACAAAAACAACAACTTAGTGGAGAAAAAAAGAAAAAGAAAAAACAAACCATAAAGTACATCTTTAGAAGCAAGAAAGTCCCAAGAGGAAAACTAAAAACTACAGAGAAACAACTCAAAGCAGGTTAAAAGCCAAAGCTGTTTAAGACACTAACCCCAGCTCCCAGGGAGTGGGACTTTAACTCCCACGAGGTGAGCTAGTGTTGAAGAAATGCAGTGTACAGCCCACCATATTTAATACTGTTTAGTTGGAAGCCATTTTAGGAAGAGGTTAATTGCTTTAAGACTGAGTAACACGTCAGGGTTTCTGGAGTACCATACCACAGTGACTGGGTGGGAGATGCCCCAAAGAGACAGTTGTAGAGAGGGCATAAGCTAGACATAAACCCTCTGAGAAGGTAAGGCTTGGCCAGGAAGAACATGGGGCTCCTGCCCTCTGTGGTAAGAAGCCAGGCCAGTAGTGTGTGGTTTTTAGAGGAAGCTGGGTCTGAAGGTGCTAGCATTAAGTCCAACAGAATGCTTGACCCACCCACCCTACCCTCTGCCCACTTCCTACTCCGAGGCCTGTTTGCTTTTTCCATTTACCAATAAATCAGGGGAGCCTTTGGGCTGGGTCAGGTGCCACAGCCTGGGATGTACAGACAAAGGGCCCTCTGGAGCAAGAGGTCACCTTGCAAACCCACAGGCCATAAAGCTAGGTGGATGAAGGAGTGCCATGGAACTCAGAGACATAAAAACTGAAGAGCCGGGGCCGGGGAGCTGGCTCAGTGGAATAAGTGCTTCTCTGGTGAGTGCAAGGGCCTGAGTTCAATCCCCGGTTCCGCCAAAAAAAAAAACCTGAAGAGTGGCTGGAGGAAATACAGCCCTAGGACAGACACCACTACTCTATGCAGGAATGCTAGAGCAGAACTCAGCACTGACATGCACACAAAAGGGAGCATGGAAACAAGATAGGACTTAGTACTGACTAGCTATCCCTGTCCTATATTTCATGGATTCCAATCCTATGGTCCCAGATGGAAACTACTCATTCAAAAACAGAGGAATTTCTATTTTTCTTCATTGGGTTTCTGGGCCTTTTTAAGACCTTGTTTCCTTTTTTATTTTTCTTTGTTCCTTTATTTTTATTTTTTTTTTGTTCCTTTATTTTTATCTAGAATTATTAATTTTCTGTTATTCCCTGAGAGGATCCTTTAAAAAAAAAAAAAAAAAAAAAAAAAAGATCCTTTTTTGCTTTTTTATCTCATATCTCCCTTATCTTTATTTTTCAAATTTTACTTTCATTTTCCCCTACCCCTGCCCTCCATTTTATTAGCATTGCTATTAAGCTTTATTATCTAGATATTTAGTTGATCACGCTATCATTGTTGAATTATTTTCTATTGTTAATGGTGGTATAGTTGTTCTATGTACTCTTAATGTTTTTTGTACCAGGGATCCAGCTTAGGATCTTGTGCTTGCCAGGCAGGCACTTATGCCACTGAGCTATCTCTCCAGTGGTTGTTCTATGTAGTAGATATTTTCTATTCATCGGTAATTTGTCTTTGTGTCTGTATTATTGCAGGCCTTTTTCTTTTCTTTCTTCCATTTTTTAAATTTATGATACAGGATCTTGTTATGCAGTTCAAACTCATAATGATCCTCCTGTTTTAGCCTCCCCAGTGCTGGGATTACAAGTGTGCGATTCCAGGGCTGGCACAGCACGCCCAGGGTTCCGGGACAGGGTGGCATGTGGTACTGGGGATCAAACTCAGGTCCTTGCACTTGCCAGGCAGGCACTTATGCTGCTGAGCTATCTCCCCCGCCCTTCTTTTCTTTGAAGATGGTCTCATTATATAGTTTAGACTGGCCTTGAACTCACTATGTATCCCAGGCTGGCCTCAAAATTGCAGGGATCCTCATGCCTTAGCCTCCCAAGTGCTGGTATTATGGGTGTGTATCATCACACCTGGCTAGTAGAGATCTTTTCTATTTTTTTTAAAGTTTATTTTATTTATTTATTGTGTGTGTGTGTGTGTGTGTGTGTGTGTGTGGCCAGCTCAGCCCACCAGGGGGCGGGGCAGGCTGGCATGTGGTG